ACACCCGAGAACAATGGCCCACAGCTCAAATTCGGTTACATCCATCCTCATTGACGTCTAGGTGGCAACTAAGTGTTCAAAGCGCGCGGTCTCAAACTGCCGAGTACAAAAGTTGTGAACGGTTGTGCGCGGCGAGGCACTGCAGCAAACGACTCAAAGCGCATGTCGTTGCCACTAGTGTAAACGGGCCTTTATATGCGAGGCTCTAAAGGGTTAGAATTGCTAATAATTATATTGGTATGCTAGAAGACTGCGTGATTTATTCGTGTAAGGGAAATTCACCCTCTAGGATTTCAGTTACTTAAATTTATTTTTGTGTCGTAAGTTTTACGGCTGTTTGTAGGGTTGGCAACTGTGCTATCTGATGACGTAGCGTTACCGGCCTGAAGCCCGTGTTAGTTCTTCTCATTCGATTGCTGTTACTGGTCGGAGCGTACCTATACTGTCACTATTTTCGAGTGCACCTGTAGCGTCCCTATTAGGTGGGTGTTTTTGCATTTGCTTCAGTTTAATGTTCGAGTTTGAATATAGTGTTTAAATTCTCTGAATATACATATATATGTGTTGTGTTGAATGAAATTGTTCCTTAGTACAGTATGTATTGTTAGTTATAGTCTTGCTGACCATCATTGTTCGGCAGGACCGACTCTTTGCCCGGCCAGCAAATGCGGCTTGTTAACTACCTTTGCCGTAAACTACCTTTGCCGTTAACTACCTTTGCCGTAAACTACCTTTGCCGTTAACTACCTTTGCCGTAAACTACCTTTGCTGTGTACTATCATTGTGCGATAATTACTAGGATCTTTTCAACCTTATATATCAGTGTTCAATTTACGTGCTTTGTTCAATAAATAATTATTTAGTATGCTTTCCTTTCTCCTTTGTTAAGATCGGTGGCAGTATAGGGTTAATTGTCGAATCTACTCGGAGTCGTCTTTACTTGAACCTTACAATTCGTAATCCACAATATAATTTCAGTAGAAAGTTTGAAAGTATATACTTGTATTTGGAAATTACCAGGAAAATATCGAGAGAAAACCAATTTCCTGAACAAGATAGAGTAGATAAATGAGATTCCAAAGATGCTGTTCATTTTCAGACGAAATATTTTACATTAAATTAATGGATCAAAATCATGAGTGTAATAAAGGAATTTTTCAATACTAAGGGCGTATCATCAGGCTGCCATTTTGAGCAAATTTCCATTTTCTGAGCTGCCAGCTGCACGCAAACTCACAATAATTATTGGCGGCGAGATCGAACTCAAAACCTAAATTTTTCTCTTGTCATTCAGTTTTTTAACATTACCAGGATCTAAAATTTGATAATTCACGAGTTTTTTTAGAACTGCGATAGATTTTTTAAAATTATCGTTATTGTACTTAATTGGAGTAAAATTTCAATTGGTAAACATTCCCCAAATGCTGATTGCTGCATTCGATAATTTATTCATTCTAACGTGAATAAATGTCAGAGTTTTTCACTCTCATATACCGCTGCTCAATATACCTGACGTGCAGAATTACCAAAGATCTTTTATATGCTCGATGTCACAGGAATATCTTTACTGCAGCTCATGGCTCACGCCGCAAGTGCCGCGCTAATTCCCCAATAAAGAAGAAACTTTTTGGCACAGCTCGGCCCATAATCAAATAATCGATGGAGTTTCATCAGTTACGCCGCACTGAATATCGCCCGTCGCTAACGAGGCCCGCACGCGCAAATCTCGGCCGCGCATCAGAGATTTTCTCTTCGGGAGACCAAAGAAATGCCGAGACATTTTCCATGGCGTGCTTATGTTTTTAATTATAATGAAGAAAAGGAGTGGTAATATCCATATATTATTTGAGAGAAATTATTTGTGTTGTTGAATTAAATAAGGCAGTTGTGCGGTATTCATTTTCTGCATGAAATTTTGATACACAATTAAGTTATGTGAAATTCAACCATAAATGCAAGCGGACACAATAGGAGTTCGTGATAAAAATTCATTAGTTTTTTCAGTTTGTTTGGTATTTTTTTAACGTTTGCTGAGTCCGACTTTGTGTATAGTTTTTTTTTGCGGACATATATGTATTTCAGGTATTCTTTATATACTTTTGTCTTGTGACGGAGTAAAAATTCTACCATTTAACGGATGATGAGTAACAATAAAACCACCTTAATTGTTTCTTTCAATCAGGGACATATTGCTCAACTTATTTTACGCTCGAAGAACCATATATGTGTCTCTGCATGTGAGTGAGTGCAATTTCTTCGTTCCAATTAAGTCCCCTTTAATTTCCATCACCAGAGCTTGTATAATTTTTCTTGATTTCATGTTTGAGCCACCATTACAAAATGAATCTAGGTCACAAGTGAACACCGCATGCTCCATATATCATTTTGTTCACATCGAACGTATAGGCGGGAAGGTCAGCGGTTACGTGTAACAGACATTGGTGCGGGAGGCGGGGTACCTCCACATCTGCACGATAATTACGTCTATAATTAATTACGTCTATGAATACACTCATGACAAGATAAGAGAATTAAGAGTATGCGAACAACGGGTATAAAATAATAATTGGGTGAAAATCTAACACGTCTGTCGCTTCACATATTATATGCAAAAAAATTGCACGATCGAATGCTCAGATACACGCAAAGTGATCGGAATAAAATGAGAAAAAGCCTACATTCATTTAAGTTTCTAAAACTATCAGTCGTACAAATTGAAGTTTTTCCTTTTATCTCATAATCAAAGACCAACTATACGATCGGTTTTCCACAGGTTTACACTGACCATTATTAACAGACTACAATTAAACAGCCTCAATATTTAGCTGCAACCCTGATGTAGTGCCCAGTTTTCAATTGCAAAACCTATACAAGCTTTCACCGAAGGATCGTAATTGGGCAGGTATAGTAAACCTCTTAGAATATTTAGCCCTCATTAACTCGGTTATTATTTTTATGGCGCTGTAATGGTAATGTACGAGATGATTTAAATGTCTGCTTCCCTACCGTAAAGTAGTCAAGTTTCTAATTGCTGATGAAGGATAAAAATTTCGAAGGATAAAAGGTATGATCCGTAACATAGCGTCTTCAGATTTCTTTTCAAAACTTCTGCTATCTATAGTGATACCAGTTCACTCATAAATACTTTTATCTTTTTATTTTCAACGAAACATTTCAGAATTTGGAACTATTTCCACTATGCTCACGCATTAATGAAGTAAAAAATGAAAGTAAATTATGAAGCGAAGAAATGCTAAGCGGGCTAAGCAATTTAATTAGTTGATTTCTCTGCAGGAAACTTAAATTAATGCCTGCTAATTTATCTTTACTTTGTTGCCGCGGCATAAAATTTCCGGCACAAATTTAATTCTTCAGTCAGTCTTTTTATTGAAATGCGCGAATTAAGAATGAATATAAAAACATTTTTAAGTCATAAATTATATACTTAATACCATAAAGTTAATTCATTCCTGTGATAACTGTTCCCTAAAACCGTCCTTTTTTAAGGAGAAGCCCAAACATGAAACCTGTGGTTTATTTATGCAAAGCCCCGATAACATATAAAGAGCAAATAAATAAATAGTGCACTATGGTTAAAAAGTTACTAATCGTTCTGCTGCTCTTGTAAATTTTCTATCAACAATCGCTGTTGTTTCAGGCAGAAATAACAGTGTTATAGGTAATTGTTTTGACCACTTAATTTTGGCGAGAAGTAGTTCACAAGAACTGTCATCATATAATAATTTGACAAAATATATCAGCGCTTCATACAAAAGCTGTCAAATTCTTGAGCCAATGGGCAAATCTTCATGGAAAAGAACCAATTCTACTGAACTGAGAATCTTCAGTTAAAATTAAGCCAATTATATGATCGCAATAAGTTCCTATAAATAATGAGTTTTCACTATACTTGTAGCTGTTGGGTAAAGAAGCCTTTTATATCCGTCGTTACTCAGATAAACTTCCCAAATGTGGTCATGGCGGACGTAAAAAATGCACCTTGCATGATGTTACAAATATGTATTATATAGTTTCAATCGCCCGATTGTGCGTTATATAGTTTCAATCGCCCGCAGTGGCTAAACATAAGCCCCCAAATACCAGTTTATGTCAGATCGAGGATGGCTTATTTACACATTTAAAAATATATTCACCGTACTTTTTTGCATTAAAATTATACATCTGTTGGGTCAGCATCTACAAATCCGTTTTATTTCCGTCACGCTCACATGCATGAAAATATTGAATCTGGCGCAAGAAAAACTGACACGCTTTGACGAGAGGCAGGTATAAATGAGGAAAATCTGCCTTCAATTTGTTCATAAAAACGAGTCACAACATTCCATTAAACAGCTCAAGGAAGAAGGAATAAAATCGATGTTGCCTTGAATTTCTGCCTGCTATAAAGTCAGGTCATAAAAATCAGAATCGAAAGGTTCGTAGGTTGGATGATGGAACTCGTGATCGAGCCACTTCTTAAGTCTCCCCAGAAGTTCAGAAAAGAATCTGCACCGATAGAATAATTACAATGGATGTAATGTTAAAGCTATGAGATAATCCAATTTAAAGAAGCCTGCATATTAGAATATTAAAGTTGCAGTTTATAATCTTTTTCGAAAGTGATATAATAGTGCCTGCCAATAGGTGTGAATTTTAATCAAAGTGGACTGTAGACGAACAGACGAATATATCCACGTGGCTCTGATCATCACTACTTCGATTTTTTTCCTAACATCGCTAATACGACTGAAATCACGAATAAATATTTTTTATCTGCAGTCTTTTAAACGGCTATTCATGTCCTATACGGCGTACGAATGGGGGCACATGGCTACGGTAAATACATAAATGAACGAAGAATATTCTGCACTCCAAAAGCACCATTCAATACAACTTCCATTTCATAAATGTTGATGACATTGCGACTAATTTGCGGTATTCATCAAGACGGAACTAATTTATAGCCGGCAGCCAGTAATCGATCATTATTAAGTTCGGCTTCAGCGTCTACATTTCTTCCGTTTGAAACGTTTACATTTTGCGCGGAAACTGATACATTATGTAGTTGCTAATGGTACATGTAGGTACCTCATTTGGTAACGCAGGAGCGGCAAGTGTGTGTGGGGAGAATTATTGCTCTTCGGTTGCGTGAACATTTTCTCGATTGTGCAAAATTTTGATCTCTATAGGCTAAATTACCCTATTATTAGCGAGTTTCAGTATTCAAAAACGAAAGTCCCGACAAATCCCTTTTTGTATGTATATTTCAAGTGACATTCCTATGCGAACTGTGTTTCATTACATTATTATGCAAGTATAGGAATTCTAGAGCAAGGTTTTCTCGAAAGTTGTCATCAGTCTTCTAGCGATGGTTTAATGCAATTTCTTTGAACTGTTTCAGATTTTAACTCTTTTCAGCCGCTGATGATGGAAGCATTCAGTGATTTTAGACGCTTGCCAGGCGACTGCAGGCCAGTATTGAAAGTAGTCTTCTACATCTTCATGCCAACTTTCATAAATTTTTCCATAGCTTTCGTCAAAGCAAGGCTGGGTAAGCTTTCTAGATGTGCCAAGGGAGCTTAACTAAGAGTAGGTAATTAGGAAAATAATTGACGAATAATAGTTCTGATTAACCATGCTGATTAACCTTCTGATTAACCATGCTGCTACGTGCCTACTTGGGTTGGATTGCGTTAGTCCAGAATTAATTAGGATGATACTCCGACTGCATTGGTATCGTTTGCTACTGATGGAAGGCTCAATTATCTTCTTTGGTTAAACTGCAAAAACGTTTCAGCCAGCTCAAAAGGCACTATGGTTGTGGTCCCAATGAGATCCCAATGCATAAAGCATCTGCTTCGCATACGTGCCATCTCTATTATTTTAGAGACACTGCATGGACAAGTGTTCTGCAACTTGATAAGTGTTAGTTTCGAAAAGTCAGAGAAACTTCACATCTAGAGGATGGTTTGTGAATATTGGGGCAGTGACGTGCACTTTGAATTTATAAGAAGTTCATCCTCTTAATCGCTGCTAAAAAGTTTTTTCTTTCAGAATTGTCAGACGAGATGGAATGCGTCCTCGATCGTGTATCGTTACTGTGCTTGGGCTTCATGTTTGTGTTGACCTACCTCGTGATGAGAAGAGCTTGCGACATTTGGACGAGACCTCGACTGTGGAACTCAAACTTGAGGACCGCCTACCTGTATGCGTCAGATGGGGTGTCGGCGTCACACATCCGAAACTAGAAGAACCTTGCATGCAGATTCACAATAGGAAACTATTTAATTTGCTTGAATGGGTCAATGAGTGCAAATCTATATCCGGATTTTAGTAGTTGACGCAAAATATTTTACTGATGGACAATCAATGTTAAATTTTAATCATAGAATTTCAGAGCGTACGCTAATGAAATAAATTTGATGGAACAGAAATAAAGTCGAATTCTGGACTCGTGTGAAAATTTATTTTCCCAAGCCCTTATGTGTGCGTGCCCGTGTACAGACTGCCTCGATTCAAGATGGTATTTTAAGTCACGATTTGTTTGCGAAACTGAAAGCTGTTGGTGTCATATTATTAAATTAATAGCGACAGACTCCCGAGTCTCATAAGTGCCTGCAAACCTAAATCTTGCGCCCACAGTTTTAGAACTTAGTTGTTAGAGACGCAGTGAACTAGAGAGCGGCCATGATGTCTCCCTGCGTACCACTTCTATCTACCTACAAATGAAGTACACGATATATGCCTTCGCTACGCAATCGTTCTTGAAAATCCTCGGTTATATATGAGCACGCCTGCGTGAGTTTTACTGAGTAGACATTTAGTCTATGGGGTAAATAAGAATTAATCAGGCAATTTCGAGCAAAGTATAGTTCTATCTACGTGACCTTTACTTGGACCATACTCATTGAGATGCCCTAAACTTCGAAATGTTTCGGTGGAATTGAAGCCTGACTAATTGAATAACATGTCCATACAATAGGAGGTGAAACTAACATTTTGTATATCACCGTTTGCCGGCACGTGTGGAAATAAATTGAAACTTCGGGAATTGCCTCTCAATGGGTTTATTGCGAATGCAGCGCGTTAATTAGCATCATATTTCATGACATCTGCTTGCAAAAACAGATTAATCTGAATTTTCTTACAGCCTTTCAATTTGGTTCTCACGCTACTCATTCCGAATTGAAATAAAAAATAGTCATTAACACCAACTTGGTAAAACTCATTGCCTGAAATGAATTATTAGGAATTTCGTCACTACAACGTCAGTCTAACAATAATTATTATAAGGTTTGAATATATAGTAGCAGCAATCATTCAAAAACTACTTCCGAATGTCGATTCATGAATTGCAGGTATTTATTAGGCAAGTAGAGGTAGACTTGCACCAACACGACAATGGCGAAGCACATGAGGACCACCAACACGCCTTTCTTATCTCCCTCAGACAAATCTGCACGCAGGAATGTAATTATCAATATTTAGAAAATAATTTTTCTGGCGATGACTAATTTTTTATCTGAGTAATGGTTCGAATGCATAGTCATAGTTCGCCAGTATGCATTAAAATTGCAACTCCTGTATGCTTCTTTGGGGAAATATGTTATTCAAGTACACGAGATATTGTGATAGTTTTGAAAGTTCGTGATGAATATGCATAAATGAAAGTCTTCACCGTGATATAGTCAAATTAAACGACTCAAATTATTTCAGCCCACGAGTATCGCGTTCGTTCACTCACCTGCGACAATATAAACGAGCCCAAGGACACAGCAGCAAGAGATTGGTATTATTTTCATTGCCTTCGATAAGTTTTGTCCTGCAGTATCATAAAAATTATTTGAATCGGAGCCCATTGTGATTATTTCCATCTGGACGTCTCTGTTGGGTAGAAAGATGTATAGCATATCAAGATATCGGTGCAACCTAATCATCGGTAGAACCTAATCAGCTGATACGACACTTTGAAACTTGCAATGACGAATTTTGCGACTTGCTCTTCACATTCGCAAGAAGAAAGGAAACGCGTTTTTTTTTTCGTTTCATATCTACATACCAAAATCCACTGGATAAGATTTCTAATTGAAGTTTTAATTAAAAAACTAGGGTTATTCAAATGGTGCTTCATAGAACGGGAACAATTTCCTGCAGACGTGACATGATATCATAAATAAGCAAGCTGACGAATTGAACGCCTTTCACGGTCAACATTTTGAGCCATGCAAAGTTTAATATAATGCAGCCGCGCTCTTCTAATAACCCCAGTTTGAGGAATATCAGAAAAGCTTCATATTCAGGAGATTAGATAGTTTTTGTCAGAAACGTCATCGTAACGTCAACAATTAGCCCTTCATGTCACAACGGCATACTGTTAGGCTTTTGTATACCGAGTTCACGGCATGTATGAAGGAAATTTCTGTCACCTTCAGCCATTATACGAGAGTCATGACCATTTGTACCTAAACGTGTCAAGTCGAAGGCAAATTTTTTTAATTTATTGGTTCACTCAATCGATCAGTTTAAATTACTCTTTTAATGTTAGGTAGTTCATTAGGTTCGAGGCTGTTCAAACTTCAATCTTACCTTAGATGTTTATATTGAATAAGACCAGAATAACTTAGTGTCAGAAATGATGGTTAAGATTTAATTCTACATGCAAACCTCAAAGGTAATCTTTGAAGAGTTCAACTGTCCATATATTTACCATACTGAGAGTACATTCTGTATAGCATTTCATGATATAAGAGGTGAAATCACAAGCAACTAGTCTAAACACTTAAATCAACAAAATGTTGTCATACTACTTTCGTTATGCGTCCTTACGTAGTTCCAATTGGCGCGGTCACTCTTTATCTTCGCCTGGGTTGAAGACTTCTGATTTAAGAGGCCCCTCTCTGCCCGATCGCTGTCAAGGAGCTCGGCCACTGTACTTTAAGTTTGTCTGTGCTCAACTATATATTCACCGAGTAATTTACCAATACATTGATCGATCGCATAGCTCATTGAAATCAACTGCGTAAATCGGACGGCGAAAACGTCGATTACCCCCAAGAATCGCACATGTCTAACTATTTTATAGTGGAAGCTATTCGACAACGGTAATATTTTATCGTTCATTGTTGCAACCATTTAGCCAACAACGTAATGATTAGGTTTCAAAGAGAGCCCAGGAGATTCATTTAGCACAAGATTAAAATATCTCACGATGGCGTTTGGAGAAGTGCTCGGACCAAAGAAGGCTCTATACATCTACCGGTATCCTCCTGCTTCAATACGACGATATGCCTCTACTAATGTCAACTACGGTATAAATTCAAGACCGTTGCTCTCCACATGCTTCGTCATGGATATGTAGCCGTTTTTAAATCGGATAGTTCTTCACACAGTTTCAAAACCCCAACAATAATAAACTTTATTATTTTGTACAAGAACATATTCCTTCACGACCTCCTGTATCATTATTCTTCGAATCCATCATCTTTGGCATGTTGAAATCGACAAGAGAATTGTCAATTATCAACATATAGTACTGACCCTAATACTCACGCTATGGCTTCGATCACTCGGCAAAAAATAGGGGGCTTGATACAGGATACAGTCCCTATGCTACACTATAAAAGTTTCAATTTTACATATCTCGTGGAAGAAAATGGCAGTTCTAATCTGTAGGTATGGAAGGGTTACACCGCTAAAAGTTAGCATGATTTGTTGGTACACATCGTTCACAGCAGCCTAATTCATAGGCAAATAAACTTCGGTTTAATTGTAACTGGCTGGCGCAGAAAGTAGACTGGCCGTGTGACATCAATAGAGCTAGTTCACACTAGTCATCTCGATCATGACTTCAGCAAATAACTCTTGAATCAACTCTGGCAGAATTGACGTCTGGAAGCTGACGTCAGGTCAAGGAAATTGATTTAGGCAGGACATTAAAATCTATATTTCATTCTTTCAATAAAAATTTCAATAGTGTGCTCTCCGGCAACCAAATGTTCGAATCGAAAGCTGGTCCTCTGCCAGCTATATTCGTCAAGTACTAAAATACGGCAGGAAATCAAACCATAAAGGCATAAACATTCCCGAGAAGATCGACTAAGTCTTCAAGCTTCAGCCTCCACAATGTTAACACCAACCAAAGCCTAGTCTTCGAAACGTGCCACAATTGGTCCATTTACGGCGTAGAAGTTCATTAGACGATTGTTCTGTATTCGTGGTCTCCTCGCGATAATGTACGTTCTTCGTACCACCAGAAAGGCCATCATGAGCAAGAAGAATCGACACGCCAAAGCTATGCCTTTGAGGGCAAATATCCAACCTGCCGAATACTCTGTAGGAAAAAATAACGATTGGAAGGAACTGAATCCAATACAAAATACTGAAAGTTGCGAAAAAGAAAAAGGCAGTCAGGCTCCACTCTTAAGATCTTTGAAAGTCTTAAAATTATGTCCAACTCTGCACATTTTTTTGTTTCAAGTACAATTTCTTCGCGTAATATTCATTCTGAACAATGTCCATTAACTATCAAAATCGATCCTGGTAAAATGACAGAACTCGAATTCTACGTACTAGCTTTGATGGTTTATTACATAGAATAACCATCAATAAGAAATATTATAGTCAACTTTTTCGAGAATTCAGAGTGCAATAGTAATGCTAGCGTAAATCGTGTTCCGCGGAATTTAACCATATACTCTACTAAAGATATAGAGCAAAATAAAGAACTACTTTGACCACGCGTAATCTAGCTGGACGTGCGTTCAAGCAAAAATTAAATTCAACCACATAAAATCCTGTCTGAATTCGACTGGCGATCTACCACTAAATAAGCTACTTTAACTTACCTGAGGTGTCTTTCAAACAGCCCAACACGAAATATATACAAATTGGTATGAATATGTAAAGGAAAACCTTCATGCCTGGTTTGCACTTGCCAGGCAACTCGTGAAAATCGCTAAATTCTTCCCTTGTCAGCAGCATGATGCCTGAAATCTGAAACGATACAAGAATTGTGCACTTTACGTCAACGAGCAGAAGAGCCTAGTATAATGCTTGAGAGACGTGTTTCATGTCCAAGAACTGTCTACACTAACAAGGTAGAGTTTACCTTTCATTACTTGTTAAAACAGAATGTATCAACGACACTACTCAGTTTTGCTAGATATGCTTCGAGTTAGCAGTACAGAATAGGAATACCTGCAAAATTATAGATCTAGAGCTTTTTTGGTAGGACCTGAATTCTAAAACATTAACATCCACGAAGAAGATGCAGTTCAGATTCCAAAATAGACTCGCACCACAGCAGCTAACCCACGCAGAGTTTCGCCATCCAAATCTCCCCGTTAATTTTGCCTAAGTGCGGTAACACGGCGCACCAACCCAGTCGTCAAGTACCACAATTTTAACTGAAATTCGCACGTTGAAGAAAAAAGAAATGAAGAGCATTTGGCATAGGAATAGAAAAACTTTAAATTGTAGGTCGTAAATTTCCTTTACCTCTACTCTGCTCACGTAGCATAAATGAACTACATGCCATCAAGAGTTATGAAAAATCGTTATACGGTTCTATATTACTGAGAAATAATTTTTGAAGTATGAAAGAAAGATACTAGACAAACTTACGCCAACGCACACAACATACTGTATAGAATTGTACAGTTTTAAAACCACTAATTATTATTTCAGTATGCCAGGAAATATTGAACGGAGCATATTAATGACATTTAGTTTCTTTTATCTTGCATTCTATTCCAATATGCTTCATGTAATAACGAATCATAATCAAATAAACGTTCTAGGCCTTTATGATATTGAGAAAAAACCCTGAACAATAAAATACTGCGGCTGTTTGTTGGCTTCTATGTTTTATGATGGAACGAATGAAATTACTTAAATATGAAATGCTCCTAATCATGTTATGGTGCCTTTCACTTCACTTCGACTCACAAAAAAAATATTCATGCTGAGTTTACTTCGCGCAGAAAGTCGATATTTATAATCAAGGGAATGGGTTCATATTTATAATCAAGGGCCGCGTCCACACATGAACATCGATGTCGTATTCTCGATTAGAGTAAAGCAAGCTGTGGTGTTGGACGAACATATCCTTCAGTGTTACTGCAGCACTGGACGACCGAGAACCTACCAAGCGGAACGCTTGGTTCAACAAAAACACAACAAATAAAACGCGTTTATAATTCAAAAAGTGTAGAGCTCATATCGTTTAAATTAACGGCAAAGCCTTGGCTCACTTTCCATATCCTTATTAAATGATGTTGCAACAGTGAGCGCTTACGAAAGAAGTGGAAAACCATTGCTTCTACTCCAAAAAACCGAGTTGGTCTAAAATGATAACAAAGATTATTAAGTTATTTATGTGGCTGAGCGGATTTTATTTGCCACATTTTCATGACCTGAATCGCGGAGTTTCCAAGGTGAAATCGCGTGCAGGAAAATGTCAATTGATTCTTTTAAAATTTGTGAGCATTGCTTGGTGTATGCTTGTTAATGCAGCATGCATCACTCTAATTCTTTACAATATTCAGCTGATGGATCCACAAAACGATGAATTCTTAGTAATGGCGGAAAAAGTATGGGCGTTGCTGCCTTTGCTGGGAAGTAGCATCACTAGCGCCTTCTTCTACATCCGTCGCGCCAAATGGCGGTGGATTTTGAGTGCTATGGATCGCATGATCATAACACCAGAAAAAGAAGGCTCCTCATTCACTTGCACGCGTGCAGCGATACAACATGTTCTCCTTGGTATACTTTTCTTCGGGTCATTTTATTTTACGTCAGTTGAACTAGTCTCCCGGGAATTATTATTCCTTCACATCGTGCTATTTCATGTTGAAATTTGCTACGAGGGCATCGTTTATATGGTCACAGGATTCACATTCTCGGTTCTAGTGGAGGTGTGCACAGCCAAGTGTGAACTCCTCGCCAAAAATTGGAGTACAGACGCCATTACTCGATATAGGTATTTTCCACATCGACTAGGAGTATGGGAAATTAATTCGGAAATCAAGAATAAACTATTTGGATTGGAGAAAAGCCTACTTGAAGTAAGGCAATTTTTGGACGTATTAATGGAAGTGTTCCAGTGGCCTCTGGTTGTTGCTAACCTTATGGCCATTGTGAACGGAGTCATCGGCTTGTTTCTGGTTCTCGACTCCCTGGTGAACCAAGGAACCATGGGCGTCAGGTTTTGGTATTCGACCTCGATTTTGATATGGTCAGCCTTCCTGCTTTTCATCGGGCATTCCGCAGCTGACAGATTCAACAAAGCTGTGAGTCACACTGTGTATTTATGTATTCTAACTAAAGTGAAATATTACTTCTTGTCTTTCTGATCTATACGTATCACTGTGATTTTAAAATAAATTTTAATAGCGATGAGTTATCTGTACATGACTTGTCAATGTTGTTTCATATTTTAGTTGCACGAAGGCCTCAGGAGCGCATGAGTGTCACTTTTGAAAACTATCCAGCTCATTTAACAGTTAATCAACATTTCTTGTAGACATGTGAGACATAAAAAACCAGGTCTTTTTGACCATGCAATCTGTACGTGACAATGACGCTTCAATTTAGAATGATGGACTTGTTAAATGTTTGCATTCAAACATAGCTTGATGAATGAAGGAAACTAAATCAATCAAATAACCAATGAATTATAACAAAGTCAATGCTGAAAGTCTTAATAATTAGGTCCATATCGCATTAAGTCACCCGGGTTCTTCAGCCGTACTTAGTACACTTTCTTGAACCCCAAAATATGTACTAGATTAAAATATGCTTTATTTTACTTTACACTCATGTATCCAAAGTTTCACACTCTTTTCTCCCTGTAGTTCAGCAACGGAACTAGTAATATCTCACGGGAACTTACTGAACTAACTTTTGCATTTGCAAACCCACAAACAACTAAACAAATACGAAAATATCAAAATCCGAAATCATATATTTCCCTAACATCATGCTTCAAGATATGGTACGTATTGTTAGAAATTTAATAAAAAGTTCATTTTTATATTTAAGATAACCCACTTGCGTCTCCCATATGTGACCACAGAAGCAGGCCTTGGCAAACAGCGTGCGCCGATTTCTGCTCTTTCAACGTCATTCATCCTGCTTGGTATGATGTAATGTTGAATTTTACAATATTAAATTAGTCAATGTTGGAGTATACAATGTTACATCATACTATATTGGATTATACAATGTTGAATTATGCGATTTTGAATGTTATTTAGCCACATTGGGACAGGAGCTGACTTCAACCATTTCTTCCATGCGTCTACCAGTGTATTATCATGAACAATGAATTTTGCACAAAATTTTCATCAACCTTCGTGTTATGTTGCACCCTGAATTTTGTTACTAATTCTGAATGTTAGTCATCTTCCGTGTTTGTAGTTAATTAGTAATTTTTCTTAAAAAAAGCCAAAAATGGACCAAAAATGTTGCCGATAAATTAACGACTTTGTGCCAATTTATAGCAAATGAGAGTTTACTGATAGCATTGATAGATTAGTGATAATATATGAGCCTATTTACGTCATAATTCATCATTTTATTTCATCGTCAATCATTTATATAGACAGAAGATTCAACAAATAATCAGAAATAAACCGCAAGATTTAGGTATTAATATTCGGTCCCGGTAAAATGGGTCATAAATTTTTTCTTTAAAATATAATAATCTTGCCACTTCACTTGATGGTCATTATTGTCCTCCATTCCAAAATTAAAATTTATTTAAGGTTCATGGTTTCGGAGATGGGCAAAAATCTTATTATCTGGCTGACCAACATGAGCTTCAATGCAATTTTCAGGAATAATTAAATTATCTACCCTAATTGATTTATATACATTTTTTCTGACTCTCAGAGTCTGCAAGTAGTCGCTGAAGCTGCTCAGCCATATCGCTTCTCCGTTGCAGAATTTTTCAGCCTGGGACGGAGTTCCATCACAAACGTAAATGTTCCTACGCACTGAAATGATTCATTTATGAAGAAAATAAGAAGTTATTTTCTTTCAATTTCGTGAATCATTTTTGATACAAAGTAAGAATTATTTTCTTTCAATTTTGTGAATTATATAGATCGTACCGTTTCATATATATATGCTTTCATAATTTTTACCTAATAAATAAGCTATTTTTTGTGCAGACAATGGCCTTCGTGTTATCATACGTATTCGTAGCGCTGCAGTTCCGACCCGCTCAAAATCAGCCCACGGTTCATGAGTGAAGAAGTTTTCCTCATGTGCGATATATAATAAAGAATAATTTACTCATGAATACTGATTGATAGAGGAAATTCTCGGATTATTTTGTTGATGTGTGCAATGCAGGCCAAATAATTGGCATGGTCCAAATATTTAAAATTAGATTTAGACTTAGAAATCGTGATTTAGATTATTTTGAATTGATTTTTACATTGCACAATCACACTGAGTATGAGTATACATTTTTTCAATGTGTAGGAATACAGACATTCAACAGGGGGTATCAAACAACACACGGCGCCCTACAAGATGGCACACAACGTGTACGGTTGTGCTGTGTAAGAGACAACTTCGGAAATGCGTATTTTTCAAAATTGTTCCATTCATTAGATGTTTCGGCATTCATATTTTATGCTAGCGCATTTATACTCAACAACATATTTCTGTTCTAAAATTTGCCATTTCCTTCGTAACCAAACTATTCAGATGTCAAGTGAATATAATTTTTCAATTAATTTAAGTTTAACAATAGAAGCACATCCGAATGAATGAACCCAGCAGGCAATGTCAGGTTGAATCAACGGTGAAATAACGTCGAAATGTACGACGTTGATAAAATAACATGGATTCACTTTTCATTCTGGACTAATATTCAACGTTATTAATCCAGAACGTCGCGAAGTACGTTGTTTCAACTTTGATTCAATCTGACATTGTCTGCTGGATATGTTCTAGAGTTTGAAAAAGTATCAATAAATATTGAACAGAATTGAGAAAATGTTTTCATGACCAAGCATGCAGTTAAACCAATTAATGCTATGTTTCAGGTCTTTTGGCATCAGCAATTACTTCTGAAGCTTCTACTGTACGTTGTATAGCTTCTAGGTAGCTCCTAGAGTAGAGTTAGAATTGCTAACGTATAGCTTCTAGTATAGCTCCCAGTTAGTTACCTCAACATTAGTATCATCGAATGTTAGTTGATGATACAGTACAAAAAAATACAGACAGAAGGCTTTAAAAACATATTAAATGGATACATAACAATGTTGATACGGCCGGGGGAGCATTTCTTCACAGTTTTTCTAGATAATGTCTGACGCAGTTTCCTTAAACAGTTTTTTATGACTACCTTTGTCGTTGTTCCTCATTAACAGGAAAGTTCAGCAGGAAAGTTCAAATGAAAATTCACTAATTGATGGGCATATGTACATTTTTTGTACATTTTTTGCCAGCAAATCAAGTGAGTTGATAGAATGACTTTCAAGGCAAGTCAGTTAGTCAGCGAACATGACGGGAAGACTTGTCAGTCGGATATAGACTGACTGACTGATTAATTCAATAAGGGAAGACTTGTCAGGCGAGTATACGAGAAGTCTAGAGAGGATGGTCAGCTAGTCATACGACTGTGAAGAAAGACTAATCAGTCTGGTCAACTAATAACTACTTAGGTATAGTCAGAAAAAAACAGAAGGTTCAGCATTCAAGAGTTGGAGTCGCAGTCATAAGCGTCAAACTGGACCCACTCAGCCGGGCAGCTCACCGACCACATGCCATGTTTGAAAACCAATGTCCCAACAAGTTTATACCTTGACATAAATAAAGGAATACTAATTTTGTTATATAGAACCAAAGAAAATTATTAACAGCGTTGTTATAACAAGGTGCCAAGATTTAATTCTGTGCCAACGCTCCTTCTATCTACTTGTTTATACATAGCTTGAAATTTTAGTTGTGGAGAGATGAGTTCATATCTCGTGTTTGCTTCGACCAGTCGAATTGTTAAATAAAAAAATCTGCCGGCGTTGAGTTGTGCGACTGAAGAAATAATGAGATTTGATAGAACTTGGCTTCATAGTTTCTTTGGTATTCTGTGTATCATACGATATGTGTGCCTTCTCAATGCAGATGACCTCGAGATAAAAAAGTAAGTAAAATTTCAACAACGTCACTTGAATGTTTTTAAATACAACGGTTGATTTGAAAATAAAAAATGCAACAAAAAAATATATTATTACAGTATGTTCCGCAGCGAGTTATTCATAGATTGTTTGAAGCAAATATCTTGCTTTCCAAATGATTCACAAATCTTCTTTCAAATCGTTTATGTAATCCGGTGTGTCTCTGCATGTACAGTGGGGGGAAATAAATATTCGTACACTTGAAAAATCGTATTTTAATGTAGGTAAGTACACAAACTGAACAGAAGAAGTGACTTATATTATGTATAGAGGCGCATTGTATTCAAAAATAGCATCAATAGAAATTAAATCTCAATGCAACAAAAATTAATGCAACATGTTAACTTCTTCGGGTCAAAAAATTGTTGCATTGAGATTTAATTTCTTTTGATAGTATTTTTGAATACTATGCGTCTCTATACATAATTTAAATCACTTTTCCTGTTAAGTTTGTGTACTTACATACATTAAAATACGATTTTTTAAGTGTACGAATATTTATTTCCCCCCACTGTATGTATGGTGCAATAATACTCTAAATGAACGAATTTTTCTGGAAAGTCTGAACTATTTTAAGGTACCAGGCCTTAATAAAATGCATATATGTATATGTAAGAAGAATTGACAAATTAGTTTTAAAATAGCCTTCATATTTCAGATGGCTTGTATTCGAGGTGACGTCAAATCTTTCTGGCTGCCAAGTCCAGAGGAGCGAACTGGAATCGGTGACGTTAGGGTATGATTGCGATAAGAGATTACCACACGATGGCAATAAGTCCTTTTTACCGATTATATACAAATAGAAATTATCACAGAGATTTTAATCGTTATTATAAAAACGATAATACATATTACAGAAATATAAATAGTTATTAAAAAAGCTTTAGCAATTTTGTGTGTTAAAAAACTTGTCTGGTTGAAAACGAATTGCATAATTTATCTGAGAAAAATTAGAGTAAACTAGATTATTTATTCTGCTTATGAACGAACGTATTAGATTCACGCTTGTTTGAACTATTGCTACCACCCCATGTCTAGACACGTAATTAATGTACGCCACTTCAATCCAACTTGTACCAAATGTGAAAATGTCTTGTACCAGCGATTTTTTCTCAAAGTTAACGTGAATAAAAACCCGTTCTCGCAACTAAATGCTTCCTTGAAACTCGTTAATGAAAAGTCAGATTTTTAAATAAAAATGAGTAGCTTCTCAATTTTCTCAATTACCTGAGGCCTTTGCTTACTCAAGTGTAAATATTTTGCAATATCGACTGGTTTTATAACACCGTTGGCTTTAATAAATTTCGAGGTAGATGACTTAGGCATGCCAAACTGGATAGAGATCGGCGGACCTTACACACGTTATTTGAATCTCTGTCAAGTGCCAAGAATAACACTATAATGTCGACAAGTGTTACGCATGACACACATTTCAAAAACTTTTTGTGTAACACAAACGTCAAAAACTGTTACGGATAACACAAATGTCAGTATGAGTTTCGCGTAATGCATAAACAGGCCATGGGCCTATTTCTTCAGCGCCGACACTTCTATTCTATTCTATAAGCAAAATGAGGAGAAACTGTAAGCGTGAATCTATTTCATTCAATCGTTGATTGATTTGTACTGACTTGTGAAACAAACGTCGGACCAAGCAATGGTGTTTAATTGGAACGGGTGTTGAGAACTAACAGGTGCTTGATTTTCGAAGCTTTTAACAAATTCCAAGACAAAATTTCGTTCAATTTCTTTTTCAAATACCGATATGAGCTCTAAAAGCATTAAAAAACGATATGAGATTAAATCAGAAATTAAACACAATAAAAAGTTCAGCGCAGATTCTGAATGAAATCGACATTAACTGTAGAAATATTCCTAATATTTCATGTATTTCCATGTATTATTATGTACAACTTTATTGTGATATTTCACCACGTAGGTGTAGCAAGTTTGAAGTGTCACTGGAAATATTTTGATGAAATTCTTTCTTTGCAGGAACATGAGCTGGAATATGAGCGTCCAGTTTGAAGATTTTAATTCGAGCGCCAGCAACACCAATGAGGTTAGAAGCTATGGGTTCTTATTGCAACAGGTCCCACTACGGGCCTGTATCCATTTTAAACAAAGGCGTGCTGACATCCGTAGAATTTTCACCTCATGCGGCCACTGATCGCGCTGCGGGTGGCGTCCGTAAACCAAAATGTATATTTTACCACTGATGAATCGTGAATAATTTTCCTGGTTTACTTCATGTTAAACTTACAATGCTAAAAAAGTTAGAAAGCATAATAGGAGAAAGCTAACTTGTTCCCTGTCGCTCAATGCAAATTAGCTGCCAAATGAAAACGTAATTAATAAATACACTGGGAAGAAAATTTTTGCACGTAGTGCGATAGACATCTTCTGAAAAATAAATGATCATAATAATGGTTAATTAGAATAACCAAAATCTTGCATATGCAATGAAAATGTGTCATTCACAATCATTTTTTCACAACAATATTTTATATCATTTTAGTAAAATATTTACGCGAGGGGTAACTTTGAGGAGATGAAATTATCGTCTGTATTGTAGTAATTTTATGATGCAATTTGTAATAAAACGTTTTGGTCATTTAACTGAAAAACGGTAGCTCCGATGTCAAACGCCGAATGAAGGCTTGCAGAAAACGGAATAATGGAGTTCAGCCCGGCCTAGCTACTTGTGCAACATCGAAGTAAAAACTAATTTTATTTGCTATTAATGATCAAAAATAAAATGAAGGAAATTATAAGTCACTAAAAAGTTCATTAAATTTAATAATCTTTGTTTGCAGAATGCATCTCTGATCACAGGCCTACTGATGCTGGTGATGAATCCCGTCACTCATAACACAACATTTGCAAAGGTGAGATCCACGTCCTTAAGTCGAGTTTTCGTGTCGTACGCGACGATAAAGCGAATATTCGATATATAAAAAACCATTGAAACGTACACTCAGATAATTGAGTGTGACTTTGTCCAAATAGCGACACACTGTTTGTCTTTGTGGGGTTCATTCAGACCCATTTTGGCCCACGAAAAAGGTCGAGCTACGTCCATGCTCGAACTGTGGTAAAAAAGTATAATTTTTTTAGCAAGATGATCCAATAATTTTTCTGAATGTGTTTTCAAGTAAAAAGCGCTTTCGCTGTGCATTGAGAACAGTGCATTGCATTTGCTGCATCAGATGTTCCGCACGCACGAGTTGTTCGGCTTCTACCTGGACTTGCGGTGGCACCTGACGCGGCTGCAGACCGGCAGCGTCGTGGCCCTGGTGGTGTCAGCCGTCGGCACCGCGGGTCTCAGGGGCGCGGCTGACGACCTCCGTGACGCAGGGGCGCTCATGGCGCACCATTTGCCCGCCGGCGCCCACTGGGTCTGGGTCTTCGTCAAGGGAGGCAGGACGTTGCTCGAAACTGCCGTGCTGGACACCCAGGGCCCTGTCCTTGCGAATGTGTTTATCCCTGTTGCTGATGCCAGGGATGTGACCCAAATAATGGAGACGGATAGATATGAAATTTGCCAGACAATGAATATTCTCGATGATTTATGTTCAGAAACTTGGTTTCCATTTCCTCGTTCGGTTTTAAACAATAGTGATTTTCTTGATTCAATTCCCATCGTGATGACAGTGGGTACCAGACCGCAGTACATGTACGCAGCACTTAAAGCAATGCATCTCTCACCAGGGTTCCGACCTGAAAATTTGCATGTGCTCTGTGGAGGACAAACTGCAGACACATTGAAACTATTAGATTTCTTTAAACTAAATTACACTGTAATTGAGATCGAGGGTACGGGAAACCCGATGCTGTTCCAGTACTACAGGAAAGTTTTCAAGTTCATAGCCGAAAATTTCCAGAGTGCCGACGCAGTGATGATCATAGATGAGGACGTGGAGGTATCCCCTGACTTCTTCTCATACATGTCACAAGTTATGCCGGTGATGATGCGGGACCCAACTCTGTATTGCGCTACAGCAACGAGCTTCTTCCCCAGCCCCCGCCTGTATCTGTCGAGGAACAGAGTGAGAAGAGGGGAGTCTCAAGTAGGCTGGGGCTACGCTATTAAAATGAGTGTCGTAAGGCAGGCTCTGGAGCGATGGCCCACTACGCTAGATTCTTATGCCATGTACGACCACTGGATCTACGAGGAGGTCGTTGAGAGCGGGGAGTGCATATTTCCTGAGGTGTCACGGGCTAAGCATTTCGGAGTAGGGATCAATGCAGTGGGCATACACATGGAAACCAATTTCCTTCAAGTTCAGATGGAAATGCAGTCTGGCATGGAAATTTATTCCCTTGAAGACATTCCGTTACTACGATGGCGAAAAAATCTACAAGTAAAGCTTGAGAATTCTGAAATTATTTCCGGTGATCCATGCTCTGACAATTTCTTCACCGATCGTGAAGATGGCAGCTATATTTTTGCGTATCATCTGGAGGCAAATGCGGATGGAAGCTATGACATGATCAGCTATTTTATTTCGGGTCTTTGTTGCTGTGAACTCACTTACTCCGGCATAGATTATGGTAGCCACGATCATGTAGTCATGGCCCGCGTCAAGCCTGGCGTTGAGATTTACTTTCTTGGTGCCCCGTTGTCGTCCTTCAGTTACGTGCTTGATAATAATACGGCTGCGTGGAACTACAAAGCTCTAGATGATTTAGGGAAAGTTAAGGCTTTGGAAAAAGCTGCTGAATTTCAATTGAGAGTAAAAAGTGAATTAAAGTCGAAATATAATAAGAAGAGATTCATGCACGAGGTCTTTAGCGACGGCTTTGATTATATGTAACGTAGACGAATATTGTAAGTATATGTATAACGTAAATATTGCATGTATTTACTTCATATAATAAAAAGATGACCAGCTGCATAGTTTATTGATTAATCGCATTTTACTCGAATCTCTGAATTAATCTGTTCTCCAAATTAATATCATTTCCGAATTACTTATATTTCTTTGCTATTAAAATATTATTTGACTGAAATCTTTGACATTTGCTAAATGATTATTGCGATAATGTTGTAATAGACTGAAGGTTAATAGCAACATGCAGGATATTGAGCATTCTATTGTAGCTCATATCATCATCATCACACCGCTCGTTAATTATTTATGCTATGCAAAGAATGCATTTACTGGAGTCACATTGTCGTTAGGCTTGGCGTTCACCAGTCGCTTCTATGTATGACTTGTAAATCGTTCGCAATTTGCTGCGACCGGAACGCGAAATTCCTGAAAAATTCTTGGCCTGTTTTCGGAACTGAACAAAACTGTCTTGCCGCGACTCAAGCTGTAAGCGGAAGTTAATTAAACTGACGTCTGGTAATTCTGAAACACTTCACCTTCCAGTTAAATGACGTCGAAACTACGTTGATTAAGAGTTAATTTAGGAGAGAAAACATTTAATTCTCGTTATTTTTGGTAAAAATAACGCTTACTCAAAGTTATTTCAACGTTATATGTATGGTGGAGCAATGTTTCGTTGACTTCAGTACTGGCAATAATCGTGAAGAGGGCGATACAATTAAGGCAAGCTCTATGTTATACTTAGAGATCAGTGTAGCAAATATGCGAGAGAAACACTAGGTACTTAATTTAAATGATAACTGATCTTGAATTTTAATTTTATTCTTTGTTGTAAGTTTTTTAAGTGATGGCTGACGAGAACCTGTAAATAAATTTTTCCGCAATCGATTTTTATAAATATATGATGATGTAGAGAATTTGAACACAATTTATTGAACGGCCACGGATAATAACCAGCGTGTTATGATAACATGTATCAGTCGACTGAGATCTACTATAAAAACCATATTAGTATTTTTATAACTAATTAAGTACATGTGTACACCGTATAATGCACAGCGTACACTCAAACACTGGCAAAACCTTCCGCTTCCAGTCATTTCTTGAAGTCCCTTGGCAAAGTAACTTCTTAAACTTTGTAAAAATTTCATAAAAATTTCCAAGCCCTTTTGTGAACCAACACAACGAGTAAGATGGCCGCTTTTCTCTGTGTTAATTGGCATGGGCGGTAAGGTGGAGAAATTCAAAGACTATTATATAATCAGAACTGTGTTTGTGCAAAGTAAATGTGGATCGAGTGATCAAGTTTAGCTTAATTTTATGTCATCCCACTATCTGAAACTCAGTTATTTAGGTGATGCATAAAGAAAAACAAAGAGTTGCCAATTAATATTACAAATTCATACGTTCAAATTACATATTAATTCAAAAAAGAAGTTTCTAATTCCTTTGGCAAGAAATTGTTCTCAAGTTAATAGACTAAGTGAGATATTTCGGTTCCGCATTGTCAACGCAAGAAATCTCAGAGTTTCATTTTTCAAAAAACCTTGCGGATGATGCGGGATCATCTATCTTGTGATAAGATTGATTAATTAGACGTGGAGTCTAGTTTAGTTCTAATTGTGTCCGTAATCAGACGCTGGTCAGTGGCTGTCAGCGACTCCGGCAACCGTTGACGTCCTCCTCATATTAATTAAGAGTGAGATGCCAACAGAAACTCACAGCCGAAAATTTAATAACGAACGGCAAAAACTTAATCTAACGAAGGCTTACCAGCCATTAAAAATGTTAAATAATTATCCTAATGATCTCACACGAAATAGAATTATTCCAAGCATGGCGGAGAAGTGTTAAATTGTAAATTTAACACTTCTCCCTTCACTTTTTTAATTTTTAATTATATTCGAAAGGGAACTCAAGAGCTACGTATTATTCAGTTGTTAGTTAAGAATTAAGCTACATAATTTATAAACTACCATTAAGGCGATGTCTGGAGTTGAGTATCAGGCGCAGACGATATCGGGACAGGCAATTAATGAAGGCCAGGCCATCATCAGACTGCGGCGGACACCCAATTGCCGCAGCAAATTAATGGCACCAAAGAAGCAATGAAGCCCAAATGACGCTAGCTTCTTTTGCCGCTCCAAATGACCGCCGAAAAACTGCGGAAATTTTCAAGGGAATAGGAATGACGCGGCGCTGGCTTCAGTGGTGTTTAGGACCACGGTTCAGTGAATTCATAAACTCGACGAAAGCGAGACAAACTGCTGCTTAATTGACCGGAATTTAGGGACATAAACGAGATAGAACAGCTATAGAAGACCGTAGGGATATATAAACAAAAATTCACGTGAGAGTGCACGAAAATTGTGGAGCTCTCTTTACGAATAACCTAATTGAATTGCATACGGAAATACAATCTAAAATACACTTTTTTCACGCAAATGATTGGATGTATAAGTAAGTTGCTGCGATGTGTATTCATGACGGAGTTCTAGTGTGGGCATAACAGCGTCGAACGCAGCCGTTATGACAGCATTTTATGGCTATAGCCGCTTTGAGGCAATCGTCACGGCTTACGGTACAGCATTACGTCATGATTACGGTGCAACACGCCGGCATGATTACGGCGCAACACGTCGGCATGATTACGGCGCAGCACGTCGGCACGATTACGGCGCAACACGACGGCATGATTACGGCGCAACACGTCGGCGTGATTACGACGCAGCACGTCGGCGTGATTACGGCGCAACACGTCGGCGTGATTACGGCGCAACACGTCGGCATGATTACGGCGCAGCACGTCGGCATGATTACGGCGCAACACATCGGCGTGATTACGGCGCAACACGTCGGCATGATTACGGCGCAGCACGTCGGCGTGATTACGGCGCAACACGTCGGCATGATTACGGCGCAACACGCCGACATGATTACGGCGCAAAACGTCGGCATGATTACGGCGCAACACGCCGGCATGATTACGGCGCAACACGTCGGCATGATTACGGCGCAACACGTCGGCGTGATTACGGCGCAGCACGCCGGCATGATTACGGCGCAACACGGCGGCGTGATTACGGCGCATTACGCCGTGATTACGGCGCAACACATCGGCATGATTACGGCGCAACACGTCGCATGATTACGGCGCAGCACGTCGGCGTGATTACGGCGCATTACGCCGTGATTACGGCGCAACACGTCGCATGATTACGGCGCAGCACGTCGGCATGATTACGGCGAAACACGTCGGCGTGATTACGGCGCATTACGCCGTGATTACGGCGCAGCACGCCGGCATGATTACGGCACAGCACGTCGGCATGATTACGGCGCAACACGCCGGCTTGATCACGGCGCAACACGTCGGCTTGATTACGGCGCAACACGTCGGCATGATTACGGCGCAGCACGTCGGCATGATTACGGCGCAGCACGTCGACATGATTACGGCTCAACACGTCGGCATGATTACGGTGCAGCACGTCGGCATGATTACGGCTCAACACGTCGGCTTGATTACGGCGCAACACGTCGGCATGATTACGGCGCAGCACGTCGGCATGATTACGGCGCAACACATCGGCGTGATTACGGCGCAACACGTCGGCATGATTACGGCGCAGCACGTCGGCATGATTACGGCGCAACACGCCGGCTTGATTACGGCGAAGCACGCCGGCATGATTACGGCGCAACACGTCGGCATGATTACGGCGCAGCACGTCGGCATTATTACGGCGCTGGTACAGTAATGTCACCTGACGAGCCTCGCGTCTCGCTAAAGAAAACTACGCGGTGCCTGCATTTCAGTGCGATATTAAATAGCGATAAATATTGCATTTCAGTGCAATATTTTCTTTACGTACTCTCATCGTCCCGTAACACATTCGAATGTCTTAACTCTCGCATAACAATACCATAACAATATCAGAATGAATGAGTTGCCCCTGAATTCGATCAATCATATACATCGTGTATAATTGCCGTACGCCTAAATAACTATCAGAAATTCAGATTTTTTATTTATTGAGGATAAATTTTTTCGTTTTTGTCATTAGTTAGTTACGGTAAAGAAGAAATTTTTCCCGTCCATTCAAGCTCTACATTTTTATTTGATTTTGTAAGTAACATTATAATAAAATAAGCCTCGCCACCATAACTAAAATTGCATATCTACGAAGACGCTCGGTTTTTGGATGCCAAATTGTTGCAGATTCTCATTAATTCTCATGAAGAAGAGGATATCAGTGTAATTATTATTATACCACCACAGCAATTGGTGATTATCATTCATTGCTTTGTCTTACTATGAAATAATTCCAATAAAAGGTTAGTTCCCTATATGCATACGTCAGGAACTCTTTCTCGTTACTCGCATATGAACTTGTCAATATAGTTCCATTAATTGAGCTCATGCTTGTAGTGGTAAACACTCCTTGGCATCGTTACTTTCATCTCGTCACATAGCAGTCAGGACACGGAACTGTTTCACGCCCAGGCTTTTTAAAGTCATTCTCACATTCACTTTCCGTGAGCTACAATTTCTTCAGAGCGCGCGCCGTCTGTCGCCCTTGTTGACGCTCACTTTCTCGGCTACTTTTTTGGTCTGTGGTCGCCCATGAATAAAGATTGAGGCTCAAAATAGCTGGGCTTGACCGGGATTTGAACCCGGGACCTCTCGCACCCTAAGCGAGAATCATACCCCTAGACCATCAAGCCGATAGCAGCTTACAAGTTGATATTTATATTAGAATAAAGAATCGTAATTCATGTAAATCGCAATGAGTTCCATTGAGTTATCCTGAATCGCTTTTACTTCGCTTAAAAATTTGTTATTTTTTATAAAAAAACAGACTCATGAAGTACATTCATAGTCAAAGCAATTAAATTGGACATAAACCTTGGTTTTATTGCTGGTGACTCTTTATTTCTCTATGTATTAATTTATATACTACCGCAATCTAGTAAACGCGTACGAGTAGCGTATCGTTTAC